CACTCTGATATCGGTTGACAGTTGTTTTGAGCTCTATATATTCTTCAACTATAAAAATGCTTCCCTTGCTTTGCCAATCTCCGCCTTTTATTCTACATCGTATCCTCCTTGTTACTTGTCGATGCTTCCCAGGTACGTGAATGTCTCCACCTCTTCCAGGGTTTCTCCATCAAGTGTGATTGGTTTATTGTTCTCCGTGTTGAATTTGAGGATCTTACTTTTTTCTTTGTGTATGTTGAGGCCTACTGGTATAGAGACTGCTACGATACTAGTTGTCTTCATCTTCATTTGTTCGTGTTTATAAAATAGAAGGGCCAGGTCATCTGCGAAGTTCAAATCTTGTAGTTCATTCCGCGTTGTCTATTGCACTCCGTGCTTTCCCCCAGATATCTTCTTCATAATCCAGTAGACCACCAGAAGAAAGAAGGAGGGGGAGAGTAAGCAGCCTTTTCTGACTCCGGTCCTCACTTAGAATGCATCTGTCAGCTATCCTCTATACACGGCTCTGCAATGTAGTCCGTTGTATGAATTCTGTAAGATGTTGACGATCTTCTAAGGTACACGACAGTGTCGAAGATGTATATTGATCGGGAGTGTGGCACAGACTGCAGTAAAGAATAAAGTTACATAGCGAGCAGAGGAACTACAAGAAGGACCGTCTATTGGAGTGAGAGTATGGTGTATGCTTCTTACGTCTGTTGACAAAGATAATACGTAACGAAAGCCGGAGGTGGAAAACGTGGCAGAAGGCTAGGAAAATTGTTACACATATCGCTTACCGTATATGGTGATCGGTTTCTCATTCGCCACCTGTCAGCTGAATACTAATTCGTGAAGTCGGTCATTGGGATTTTCAAGAAGAACGCTAACTTCTGCACCACTGCCAAAGTAGGGAAAATTTCGTCATCATATCAACAATTTACGACAGACACCTGTGTTCGCCGGCTACAGTTGCCGTCAACGCATACCGGATGGATAGCTTCCTGAATTTTCTCTTGTCGGATGGTTTGGAGACTAGTAAAGTGTAGGACTTCTTACAATTTCGGAAAATCTTACTATGCTCATCCCGTTACCAGAACCAATAAGAATTATCTATCTCTCGCGGCCTTGAGGCGAGTCTTTTAAGTAGCGGGCTTCTTTGAGATGTTTGAGAGTGTATACAATTACGATGAATATCAAGAAAATGAGTCAGAGTATGAAGGAAGTCATTGACGCCCTCGGGCGCTAGGGTTTCTGACGATCTGTAGAATCTGGTCGGCAGACGCAGTCAAGTTCGTCTACAACGTCATTTTGAGATGAGACAAGTGTAGAATCCAAACTACGGTTTGGACTGAACAATAGCCGTTCAGGTAGTTTAGACACGCGCCCTTGCCCGTCAAAATCAAAACAAGAAATCGGGTAAATAGCGGTTCTATAATTCATCATAAGTTTAAATGTAATTCGTTACCTAATCAAATATTACCACCCGGCTATTCAACCAATAATTGTTCAGTCAATCAAATCTAAATTACAATAAATAAAAAAAGTTGATAAAAGATGCGGAAAAATTACCAGTCACAACAATTGAACTCTATTCTATCTTGACTGGATAGAACACGCACAAAAGGAGGAGCAAATTAATATGGCTGCCGCCAAGAACAAGTATTAAGTAAAACAACATAGGTGCAGTTCGGGAAGAAACACAAAATCTTAGTGAAGGCATAAGAAAAATAAAAACTATAATAAAAAAACACAAATATTAACAATTCAAATGTAACCAAAAACTAACAATGTACAACTAAGGCGATCAATAGGAACAAAGTGCAAGTATATATATATGGAGGGATTTTGCACACACACACACAAAACATTTAAAACGGATCTTACAACAAGAACTGCCTGAACCATTTGAGAGAGATTAGACGAAAGAGCTGTTTAAATAGGCCCTCGTCAAAAGCCCATTGACCTGTGACCTCTCAAATTTGTAACAACATTTACGTCGCAGAGCCATATTACAGTTCGATGTTTTGGAAAACTTTTCTATAGGCTAGGTCTCCACGTTTAAGAATAACCTTCTTTGAAGTTCCGTAAGGTTCTAAACCCTCATAAGTAAATAGACTAGGTATGGCTTACATGTTAAAATCGCGTAGCGATGCCTCCACTACTGTGAGAAATTGTGCATGTGGGTCTGTCACGACGTGTTCATGGAAGTCAGCTTTTATAATGTCGGGCCACAGTGGCATGGGTTGAAATGCGGTGGTCAAAAGAGTTTTAATCTTAAGTAACTTAGGTGTCTGTTCGGTCATGACGAAGACGAAATGAACCAATGAAAGAGAAAAATATCCGAAAACAATGTCACAATATGTACAAATAAAAATTTAAAATATTGTATATGATGTTCCAACAAGAAACAGACTCACAGTTTACTGTTTGATGTGCTAGATCACGTTGGTCATGAATATGCCTCAAGTTTGACAACTTCTTTATAAGCAACACCTTCATAATCGAAGTATACCATCACAGTCAAATCAGAAATCAGGAACAAAGTGGTTTGAGTACATATATTTGGAAGGCTATTGTTATATCGGGAATTCTTTGGTCTACAAAGTAGAGAAACAAGCTTTCGATTCCGAATATGCAGATGCTTTGAAATAATCATAGTAGTAAGCGGAAATTCATTGTGTTCAAATGTGAAGCAGAATTGGTATGTAGTGTAGTGGTTCGTGTCCAGCTTGAAGGTAGTTTATATGTGGGCGAAAGAAGAACGTTCTGAGTAGTGTGCACAAAGAATGTCATCAAACGTCGACCGACAACTCAACGGACACACAAAATACACTTCCTTTTAATAGGGAGGGCAATGGAGAACAATCAGCAATAACACAAGCCCAAGACTGAGACGGTTTAAGAGTTGGGACTAGAAACAGTGTAAAGTTTGAATCCTGTTACAGAATTTTCCTTTGGCTTCAAGCACCATCTACAGCCGTTAAATTGGCTTTTTTTTCCAGTGAGTAGACCTCGTGAGAAATAATCTCAGAAGAACTAATCAGTCTTTCAGAAGGTATTTTTTCCATTTTTAACTAAACTAGAACATGTGAATAAGAATACAGAGGGATTGAATCTTACCTTTGGGTTTGTAATACATTCAAAAATGGAGATTTTATAGAAACAGCAAGCACAAATGTCTGTGCTTTCCCAGAGGCTTACGAACATTCACGACAGCAAATAACTCGTACATAAAGTTAAACGATAGAACTGTTGAATAAATGAAAGTAATATTTACAATTTTTGTTTTCTTATTACACTATCGAAATTCATCAAAGGGACTAATTGCTTTAAATTCATATTTACGTAGGCTTTTACTACATTTATCTTTTCTTCTCCCATCAACCAATCAGTTCTCGCGTACCAGATTATAATTCAGATAACAGAACAGTTTCTATGCTCCCTTCTGAAGATCAATTTGCAATCATTTAATCTCATTTAATCCTTTTGAATTATATCCCTCATCCTCAGCTGTCAGTTGTGCATTACATCATTTTCCTATTTTTTGCTTATTTTTCAGTCTTTGCTGAGGTGATTTTATGTGTACTGTATTACTGTACTTATCAGGATACAAATTTCTAAGATATTCAGTATGCCTTTTTTTTCTAACGACTCTAATTTTGTATATTTTATACAGCACGAACACTCACATATAAGTGGGGAGAATCGGAAGTGACTACATTTGGTTATGATGCAAGTGTAGTAGATCTGTTCAGTTTAAGAAGTCCGTCAATTTCGATGCAAAATCAAAAGCTGCTGTGGTTCCCGGTTTTCCATTCAAGGATATCAGTTAGCAGGATATACTGCATTAAAAGTACCTAAAGAGTTGTAGTGATATAAATATTCGACGTAACTGACATACGTACCAGCTTAAGTTAGCATTTGTGTTTGTCAATGGACCTGGGACATTGGTACTGTCAAAGTTTGTACGGTTCTACTAAATCCCGCCTGTTCAACTTTTACAGCTTCGACGTGGCTGCAAAATACCGAATTGGATGTGGTCACGGAAAAATACTTAACACATGTGTAGTGACCACTCATTACTTCTTTACTTGACGGTGTAGTTATTGCTGAAAATATTTGTAGTTCTGAACTGTATAATACATATTTGAACCTATTTGTCAATTGTTGTCCTTCAATCATTGGGTCTTATCAAGTTGTTCGCAATGTCTCAGTAACAGGTGGTCTTCATAGTAGTATATCTTGTATTTCAGGGAATTGCTTAGAGACCGGTCTATGGTATTTAATAGACAATTTTCTTAAGAAATTATGGCTCCTGATGGCTTTAAATCTGGTATATAATTTAACTTAATCGCGTATTTTACCTGAAAATATTTTATCACTGAGGCCATCCAATGATACTTAATAAGTTTCTTTGGGATTAATTGACCACCTTCTATCCATTTTGGGATTTTTCCAGTTACGAACTTGAGTATAATGGAAAACATCATGAAAATGTCTGCTATTACCAAAGCTATCAAGCTAATGTGCTTATATTAACTCAAACGGGCTTTGGGATTGGAAAATTCTCCAAGTGAATAGGACAACCTAGAATTTATATTTCAGTATGTTTGAGTAACAATGACCAGAAATAATAAAATAGGAACTATCATATTATTTGCCTATTTTATAAAGTATTTACATAAGTATTTATTGGATACAAATTCGACTTTTCAATCGATTGTTAATCGTTTAACACAAGCTTAACATAATCTATCACATACAGTCATCTTTTTATCTAACTTATCTTTAGAGAATATCCCAGATTATATCAGTCAGTATATTTCAATTCCTATTGTAGTTTTGACACTCGAAACGCTTTTATATCTGAATGAAAAGACTATTATCAACAACAAATTAGTCAATAATAAAAATTCTATTTATAAAATATACATTTCTTTTCTTATATAATTTAATTCTTTAAATTCATTAAACGTATAACCTTTTCAACTATTGAATACATTTCATAATAATGATAATTATGATAATTTATCAAAACGTTCTTTTGTTTTTGCACGAATATATGCTTGTGATAATTCTCTTGGTGTTGAATCAATCGGTATTGTATTGTTTGATAAATTGCTTGAACCAAGACCAGCTTGTGGATTGACACGTAAACTAACAGTTATCTTGAATAGTGTGACATACAGTAGAGTTGAGTAACATCGTCATTGGTAGTGTATAATAAGTTATTAAAGAAAAGATTCAAAAAAGGTGAAAACAAAACATTTTATTATTCAAGTCTTTCAGATAAACAAGAAATATATATGTTATAAAACAGAGAATAGTTATTTAATGTAATACTTAGTAAAGGTTAATGTAACTGACTTTATTGAACACTTTATTTGTGTATACACTGATTTGACACTATTTAATTGTTTAAACTATATTACATTTTGATAGGGAATGGGTTAGATATTATAACTTAGTGGTAAAACACATCAAGCACTTCAACCATTACATTATCTTGTTTATGTATATTTTATTCTATTTTTAAATTTGTCATAACTATTTAGGGATAATTGAGAATATTTAGACTTTACAATGATAATATCGACCTTGTTTGGAAAATTCAAACTTTAGAACAATCGTGTTTAGGGAAACTTTTACTGGTAGTACGTTATTTGAGCTGGGTGATTGTTTAATTGAAATGTCTATTAAGAGTAGATGTGTGATTTTTATGTAAACCCTATATACTAGTCATGTCATATGAAAAGTCATCTTATTTTGTATGAATCTTTTATCGATTGATGATACCTTTAATTCACCAATAATTTGAAATAATGGGCTAGTGGTTGAAGTACTAGGCTGTTACCTTGTAAGTCACAAGTCCGAATCTCACTTTACTTATTTCGGTTTGGGCAATCAGATAAAACCAATAAGTCTCAGACAAGTCGAGTGGCTCAAAGATGAATGGTATATAAACCTCTAATTTATGGGTTACATTTCAACAATATATTCATATAATGAGCCAATCGTTGTGTAGTCTGAAATCTCTTCGGATGAAAGTCCCGAATCGGTAACTATCAAATTATCAGTTCAACCACGTTCACTATCTCAATATGTAATCAGTCAATTATTTTGCTATAACGCTGATTTTTTCAAAATATACTGTAATCTGTTTGATACTATGGAAAGCGTTTCTGAAGTATAGTTGAGTCATTGTGTATACAAGTTTTTCACTAACATAAAGTGAATACAAAGAAAAATCGAACGTTATCATCTTTAACTTCCAAAATGGCTTATCATAAAATACAGTACTGAAATATTTGTCTGACAACCTAATGGACCTGATGAGTAGAATTTAATGAACTAGGCCAGGAAACGGTATTCAAGGGATTTGTACTTAAAACTAAATTTCACTATCCATAAACATATTTCGCTTGTAACTGATTACTTGTCACTTAATTGCAACGCTTTGAATAGGATTTTTTCTTCTAGTCAAACTTGACTATTTCATATATCTTAATATGTAATATGTGCACGCTTAAAGAAGTTTGAACATGTAGGAAATAGTTGCTCATTAATCACCAGTCTACAAAAAATTTACCAGTTATCATTACTTTTTAGGTTAAAGAAGAATTAAATAGTAAAAATAGAATCAAACTAGAGAAAATCAATTACCGGTTCTGAAATTCCAGTTTTACTTTTACCCAATCCTTGACCAGGTGTCCAACCCATTTTAGCTAATAATTTAGCTCCTTTATTTTCATCTCCAATAGGTTTATATACACTGGCTGGTGTTGCTCGAGTTATTAGTGGAGTTTTAATAATTTGCTGTTTTATTACACCTGGTGCAGGAGGTAGTGGATAACCTGCTGCTTTTAAATTTGCCTCGATTGCACGTCGTTGTGCAGCACGATCCATATATTGTCTGTCTGTCTTTGCCTGAGGTCTTATTCGTGGAAACTATTGATCGAAAGGTAAACAAAGTGATTTTTAGAAAAAAATTGCTTATTTTTGAAGATTATATACATAATGAGTTGACTTTAGTTAAACAACTATTCCATACCAGGGAAAGAGAAACAACTGTTCCATTCTAGTATGAGACTTCTCAACAGTACGTAACTGCAACTACAAGAGAGATTAAACTGAAGACTCTAGGGCTCACGGTAAGCATGACACCTTAAGATAATTGAATTGATATCTTATGATTCACATTTCTAACTTAAGTCAATTTGTTACAACTCAATAAACTTTACTTTGTTAAATTTCTAATTAAAGCCAGTGTAAACTAACATGAATTTATCAAAGTAAGAATAATCTACACAGGTTAAACATAAAAAAGGTATTAAAAATATTTGTCAGTACCCGAAGAGTTTTAATCTCGATGACAAGATGACAAGATCCTAACGTAGAAAAATATAAGTGAATTAATGACAGTAACATTTAAACAAGATTTTACTAAGATTAAACAGCTCAGTGTCCATGTAATGTTTTCAATAACCGAATTGTTTTGTAATATTAATGTCGAATATAACCAGTTGTTTAGTTTTGTGTAGCTCAGTTATTAGGATGATATATCAAGTATATCATTCAATTTTAAACTATCTAAACAAAAGTATCATTCATTGCGAACATAGATACTAAAATAAGATTGTTAGATATACCTATAAAAATGTCAGTTTATGAAAGTTACCCTAAACATAACGTCATTCGGGTTTCACAAAAGTATATCATAAAACACAAAAAAAAGATCTACAACTTAAATACTTTAATTACGCTAAAGTTAACATTTCGTATTGTATATTCTCAATACCTAGACAAGTTGATCAATCGGAAAGCTGAGTGAAGAGCTGAATAAAACCATTCAAATTACGCTCTACATTTTAATCAATGAAACTCAAAATGATTGATCATTTAATATCTTATCTGTAAATTAGAGGTTTGTATTATTCTATGCAACCCAGACTTTCTAATCATTATCGCTATAAATCCAAAGCCGAATTATTAAATAGTTTAATTTGTCAATAGACAAAAAGAAATCACACATCAGCGATTGTTTAACATAATTTGCATCTTCTACAATTAGGACCAAGACTGATCATTTATTTATTTAACATAATCACAACAAGTAATATTATCCAAGAAGGTAAATTATACTAACATGGAAGATTCCATTCTATTTAGAATAATGAAAGGAAAACAAAAAGAAACACATAACTTACCTTTAAACCATATTTTTTCTTTATTTCATCTAATTTCGCTCGTCTTTCAGCATCTTTTGATGAATGTGCTGTTTTATTGTTGAGTTCGATGATTCGAAAGGAAAACAAAAAAACAAATTTTGGTCATTTAGAAGAAGAAGAAGAAGAAAGTATTGCTATTGAGATTACCCCAATTATGAAATGAAAATAATAGCTGGTAAAAATCTAGAAAGAACTAAACAACTATTTCACTATACTTTAATTCTCCTCAGTAATATGAACGCAAATTTCACAAAAGAATAAATCCAGGATTTTATGAGTTGCATAGTGAATATTATAGCATTGAACCAATCAATTGTAATTGAATGGTTTACACTGTCAACTTTAGTTTGTTAGCTAAATAACCAGATTATTCAATATCATCAATTATATTTACCTGCTTTATGATCAATATAATTTTGAGATGGTGGAGAAGATTTGTAGCTCAGGTGGATGATTTTGGTGGAGTTTTGTTCTCTGAGCTGGATGGTTGAAGTTTGTGCTGATGATGTCGTTCAGAAGAACGATGAAGGCTCCACGACCAAACCATCCAGCTGAAAGAACAAAACTCCACCAAGACCAATATAACTAAATGCATAATTTCTAAGTTAGAAGAAATCATTTTCTAAATAATACATACACATAGACAAAAAAGGTTTTTATAATTAATTACTTGGTATAGTTTCAGTTAGATTTTCTGTATTCATATCATCATTTGTAGAATTGATTGTTTCATTGACATCTATAATTGAATTTAAAGCAGCCTTAATCTCGTCTGGATCACATTGTCCACATGTTTCATTACCATTATGTATGTGTACAAGTAAACGGGTTGAACCTAATCGTATTATATCACCATGACGTAATACTGATGATTTACACTTAAATAAAAGAAAACAATAAATAAAAAAAGAAAATATGAAGATTTCAAAAGATATATACTCTTGTCATGAAAAGACAGTGATTTGAAACTCACTCACGCCTGTTACTCCTCATGAAGAAGCATGGGCAGCTCACCAGCATTCACCATCCAAACCTTTTCTGGGCAATCCTTTCCAGCTCTTTCCAGTTGTTATTCATCCTCTTCATATCTGATTCTCTTTCTCAACGTAATGTGTTTTTGGCTTTCCTCTTTTCCGTTTCCCTTTAGGATTCCATGTTAGGGCTTGCCTCGTGATTTGCGTAATGTATATCCTATCCATTTCCATCGTCTTTTCCTAATTTCTTCTTCAGCTGGAAGCTGGTTTGTTCTCTCCCACAGTAGGCTGTTGCTGATGGTATCCGGCCAATGGATGTTGAGTATCTTGCATAGACAGCTATTTATAAATACTTGCACCTTCTTGATGATGGTTTTAGTAGTTTTCCAAGTTTCAGCTCCGTACAGTAGAACTGACTATCTTGACGTTCGTATTGAAGATTCTCACTTTGATATTGGTTGAATGTTATTTTGAGTTCCATATGTTCTTCAATTGTAGGAATGCTGTCCTTGCTTTGCCAATCCTTGCCTTTACGTCTGCATTTGATCCTCCTTTTTCATCAATGCTGCTTCCCAGGTACGTGAAGGATTCTACATCTTCCAGAGTTTCGCCATCAAGTGCGATTGAATTGCTGTTCTCCTTGTTGTATTTAAGTACCTTGGTTTTCCCCTTGTGTATGATGAGGTCTACTGATCCAGAGACTGCTGCTACACTAGTAGTCCTCATCTGCATTTGTTCGTGTGTATGCGATAGGAGGGCTAGGTCATATGATTCATTTGAAAGTATTATCGAAAACCAAAACTGAATAGAATAAAATTCAGTGTAAAATTTATATATTTATGTTTAGATAAAAAAACAAAACCAATCATAGCCACTAGAATTCAATAGTCTTGATATATTTTTTCATTCGATGGTACTCTGATGACACCAGGTTCTTTTTATGGGAATGATTAAAAGCAAACTTATTTAAGACAGATGAGTTTTGTTTTAGAAAAAAAAGAACAGTTCACAGTTCACAATTCACAATTTTCCGACAACATTCAAATAATGATTCTGTTCAAAGCATAAATGAAGATCATTTACTGTAAAATGTATGATGTTATATATGTATGTGTTTATGTTCTTCTTACTAAACTCCTAAAATCAGATGAGGCTTGAGGTTGCAGTCGGAGTTATATTATTTATTAAAGTTATCCACTAAATAGATTGAGACAGAAAAGTATAGTAACTACAAAAAAAAATCAAAAGTAGTCAGGATCGTATTTTATCATCAATCAAATACATCTTGATATTGTCAGAGATTACATTTAACATAGAAATAAATACAAAAGTTAATAAATGACTTTTTCTTTTTACTATTAATTAATCAATAAGTATCAGTGTTCAACTTATTCCACCTCAATAAATCTATTCACAATAACTGGATGTTTCCATACATGTAGGACATAAACTATCTATCTCTATTTAACACACTAAAATATCCTTTCTGAAACAAAAACTAGTTTCATTAAAATCAAATATTTGTCATCTATTTTTACAAAATTGTCATGCTTACAGACAATTTAGGAAAATGCTCTAGGTATCGTAACGATCAGATATGTATAGATTAATTGTATTAGAAAACTACTTGTTAGGTGATGCAAGAAACGAATTTATGAATAAACAATCAAAATTAACTTTTTTAGCAGAATCTAGTTGTTAACGCTTAAATGAATATGATAAAAAGTTCTTTTAAACATTATCGAAAATCAATAAAAACTAAGAAGAACAAAATTAATAAACCAACTAAATCAATGAACGAATATATTCTAAGATAAATACAAAAAGAAAAAAAAGAAAAAAAACGAAATTAATGAATTACCTTAGTCAAAGTAATACCATTAATAGTGGTAGTGAAATTAGAACCTCTATCCAGCAGAGAATATTGACGACTATCTGTATCATAAATAACTTCACAATGTAACTATAAATAAGGAAAGAATAAAAAACACGTTATCCAAAAAAACTAATGACAAAGAAAACAAAAAACATAAAATATATAAATACACGTATATATATATATATATATATATATATATATATATATATATATATATATATATATATATATATATATATATAGAGAGAGAGAGAGAGAGAGAGAGAGAGAGAGAGAAGTATCATACGTGATTACATTCACCACAGCCATAAACATCAATGTCACTGAAGTCAGCTGTACGTATTCAAAACTTTGTCAAGTCATTCCAACTACACCGCATTACCATATACTTCTCTACTTATTCCCCTGTGGCTGCACCACCACTACTCACAGGACTCAGACACACAAACTAACAATGTTGAATTACGAACGACCTATACATACACATATACATTGTGACACAGGATAATTGCCATCGAATGCAATAGTCTCATCACAATCACAACGCAACTATGACCAAGTATATGAACTGGTCTAGTGAACTAGATGAGTGTGAATTTCGCTTGATGGTAATGTGCACGGAGAATGGGGATGTCATGGTATGCGGTAATGCGAATCACCAGTGGACCAGTGTTTGTCTGTTGGGTTGTGTAAGAGCTGGTGTTTATGGAATGAGTGATGTGGTGTGTGTAGTTATTTGTGGGGGCAGTTGTTTGAGTGTGTTGGGTGATTGATGTTTCATATTGTGCAATGAAATTAGAGTGTATGTCAGGTGTTGAGTGTATAGAGTGGGGAAGGTGATGATTAGGTGGGTTTTGTCAAGTCAGAATATGTGTATGGTGTGGCAGATGTTGGTGTTAGATAGCGTGTGGTTGTCAGTGGTCGAGTTTAAAGAGAACTATATTGCTATTCAAAGGGATGATCCGAAGACCTCCCCACTGACAAAAACTACGCGTCCGAGCGAGCCCGATTAGGGATCGTCGCAGGCTTCAACACGCCGGAGTGCAATGGCGAGCCTCCACCTGGGGCCAGAGCATTCGTGATCACCCTGGTCCCGGCGCCAAGTAAGTTTAAGCACAATATTCAACAATAACCTACCTATTATACTTCAACACATTACACTCAATCATCAATTAGCAAACGTTTCACACATACAACATATACAACCATTCGCATCACCATATAACACTCTCACCACATAAACATTTATAATTACAACCCAATTCTCTACAAAAATCACCATCATATACACAAATACACACGAAAACATCAATTACAATATTTACAAACACTACCCACTTATACTACTTTGCATCATTTCAGTAGATCATATCCAACATCACATTCAACTTTGGCAGTTCTATCGCGCTAAATTAACACTATCCATCATACAGAACACACATCACACAACACACCGATTACCATCATTCCACACAATACACTGTACTAATACTATTCACAACACCTAATCCTCAACTCATAACAAACACATCATATTGGCCCAAAGCATCTCCGTGAACAACACTTCTCTCAGTAAGCAACAAGTCCCAGCCACCGCTTCATACCCACCAACACTATACGGACAATAACACAATGATCCACCTCACACATCAAACACAAGTCATCATATCAAATTACATCAGACAGATCATCGCCACAACTATCATCGTTCACCTGTTCCCAAGACCTTCAACGACTAACAAGCCGCCTAAACACATGTACACATATACGTATATATATATATATATATATATATATATATATATATATATATATATATATAGAGAGAGAGAGAGAGAGAGAGAGAGAGAGAGAAGTATCATACGTGATTACATTCACCACAGCCATAAACATCAATGTCACTGAAGTCAGCTGTACGTATTCAAAACTTTGTCAAGTCATTCCAACTACACCGCATTACCATATACTTCTCTACTTATTCCCCTGTGGCTGCACCACCACTACTCACAGGACTCAGACACACAAACTAACAATGTTGAATTACGAACGACCTATACATACACATATACATTGTGACACAGGATAATTGCCATCGAATGCAATAGTCTCATCACAATCACAACGCAACTATGACCAAGTATATGAACTGGTCTAGTGAACTAGATGAGTGTGAATTTCGCTTGATGGTAATGTGCACGGAGAATGGGGATGTCATGGTATGCGGTAATGCGAATCACCAGTGGACCAGTGTTTGTCTGTTGGGTTGTGTAAGAGCTGGTGTTTATGGAATGAGTGGTGTGGTGTGTGTAGTTATTTGTGGGGGCAGTTGTTTGAGTGTGTTGGGTGATTGATGTTTCATATTGTGCAATGAAATTAGAGTGTATGTCAGGTGTTGAGTGTATAGAGTGGGGAAGGTGATGATTAGGTGGGTTTTGTCAAGTCAGAATATGTGTATGGTGTGGCAGATGTTGGTGTTAGATAGCGTGTGGTTGGCAGTGGTCGAGTTTAAAGAGAACTATATTGCTATTCAAAGGGATGATCCGAAGACCTCCCCACTGACAAAAACTACGCGTCCGAGCGAGCCCGATTAGGGATCGTCGCAGGCTTCAACACGCCGGAGTGCAATGGCGAGCCTCCACCTGGGGCCAGAGCATTCGTGATCACCCTGGTCCCGGCGCCAAGTAAGTTTAAGCACAATATTCAACAATAACCTACCTATTATACATCAACACATTACACTCAATCATCAATTAGCAAACGTTTCACACATACAACATATACAACCATTCGCATCACCATATAACACTCTCACCACATAAACATTTATAATTACAACCCAATTCTCTACAAAAATCACCATCATATACACAAATACACACGAAAACATCAATTACAATATTTACAAACACTACCCACTTATACTACTTTGCATCATTTCAGTAGATCATATCCAACATCACATTCAACTTTGGCAGTTCTATCGCGCTAAATTAACACTATCCATCATACAGAACACACATCACACAACACACCGATTACCATCATTCCACACAATACACTGTACTAATACTATTCACAACACCTAATCCTCAACTCATAACAAACACATCATATTGGCCCAAAGCATCTCCGTGAACAACACTTCTCTCAGTAAGCAACAAGTCCCAGCCACCGCTTCATACCCACCAACACTATACGGACAATAACACAATGATCCACCTCACACATCAAACACAAGTCATCACATCAAATTACATCAGACAGATCATCGCCACAACTATCATCGTTCACCTGTTCCCAAGACCTTCAACGACTAACAAGCCGCCTAAACACATGTACACATATACGTATATATATATATATATATATATATATATATATATATATATATATATATATATATATATATATATATATATATATAGAGAGAGAGAGAGAGAGAGAGAGAGAGAGAAGTATCATACGTGATTACATTCACCACAGCCATAAACATCAATGTCACTGAAGTCAGCTGTACGTATTCAAAACTTTGTCAAGTCATTCCAACTACACCGCATTACCATATACTTCTCTACTTATTCCCCTGTGGCTGCACCACCACTACTCACAGGACTCAGACACACAAACTAACAATGTTGAATTACGAACGACCTATACATACACATATACATTGTGACACAGGATAATTGCCATCGAATGCAATAGTCTCATCACAATCACAACGCAACTATGACCAAGTATATGAACTGGTCTAGTGAACTAGATGAGTGTGAATTTCGCTTGATGGTAATGTGCACGGAGAATGGGGATGTCATGGTATGCGGTAATGCGAATCACCAGTGGACCAGTGTTTGTCTGTTGGGTTGTGTAAGAGCTGGTGTTTATGGAATGAGTGATGTGGTGTGTGTAGTTATTTGTGGGGGCAGTTGTTTGAGTGTGTTGGGTGATTGATGTTTCATATTGTGCAATGAAATTAGAGTGTATGTCAGGTGTTGAGTGTATAGAGTGGGGAAGGTGATGATTAGGTGGGTTTTGTCAAGTCAGAATATGTGTATGGTGTGGCAGATGTTGGTGTTAGATAGCGTGTGGTTGGCAGTGGTCGAGTTTAAAGAGAACTATATTGCTATTCAAAGGGATGATCCGAAGACCTCCCCACTGACAAAAACTACGCGTCCGAGCGAGCCCGATTAGGGATCGTCGCAGGCTTCAACACGCCGGAGTGCAATGGCGAGCCTCCACCTGGGGCCAGAGCATTCGTGATCACCCTGGTCCCGGCGCCAAGTAAGTTTAAGCACAATATTCAACAATAACCTACCTATTATACTTCAACACATTACACTCAATCATCAATTAGCAAACGTTTCACACATACAACATATACAACCATTCGCATCACCATATAACACTCTCACCACATAAACATTTATAATTACAACCCAATTCTCTACAAAAATCACCATCATATACACAAATACACACGAAAACATCAATTACAATATTTACAAACACTACCCACTCATACTACTTTGCATCATTTCAGTAGATCATATCCAACATCACATTCAACTTTGGCAGTTCTATCGCGCTAAATTAACACTATCCATCATACAGAACACACATCACACAACACACCGATTACCATCATTTCACACAATACACTGTACTAATACTATTCACAACACCTAATCCTCAACTCATAACAAACACATCATATTGGCCCAAAGCATCTCCGTGAACAACACTTCTCTCAGTAAGCAACAAGTCCCAGCCACCGCTTCATACCCACCAACACTATACGGACAATAACACAATGATCCACCTCACACATCAAACACAAGTCATCACATCAAATTACATCAGACAGATCATCGCCACAACTATCATCGTTCACCTGTTCCCAAGACCTTCAACGACTAACAAGCCGCCTAAACACATGTACACATATACGTATATATATATATATATATATATATATATATATATATATATATATATAGAGAGAGAGAGAGAGAGAGAGAGAGAGAAGTATCATACGTGATTACATTCACCACAGCCATAAACATCAATGTCACTGAAGTCAGCTG